TTCATCACTGTTCTTGGGATGGGCCTGACAGATACGCTCAGTATGGTGGAAAAGATGCCTACCCAGCATGTTTCTAATGACATTATTCTTTGGTAAGAATTCCAATATTATTAGATTTCATGACTGACTGATTTCTACATTAGGATGTGTTTGATGGAAAACGTGTTATATTTTCATATATTACTGGAGACTGAATTATACTCTAAAAAGCAAGAGTTGCTGTCCTAGCCATAAGGAGGAAAATGCAAAATCCATGCAGCCAACTGAAGGTGGTTGCAAACTTTCAAGATTTCAAAATTCTTTAGGATGCAAGATAGTTAGAAAGGGATGGGGGAAACAGAAGGAATATATGGCTGATCTTAGAGCCATATCTGAATTAGGTCACATTATTATATGAGATGAGAAGACCCTGAACATGCAAATTAAGTCTTCAATTTGTCTTATAACTAGTACACAGTAATCACATCAAAGAATAAAGTATATTTTAAAAGCAATTGAAAGAGTTTCAAGAACATCAGTTTTTCATTTCAACACATGGGATGAACATTTTACTGATATCTCAGTAATAAACTCTGAACCTTAGAAATTCTATATTGAGACCTCAACTGTGGTAGTGTTTGAGTGATAGCAAACAGCATTTAATGGTGGGCACAGAAATCTTAAAATGGACTGGAAATGAATGGAGTTGCAGAAATACTGCAGTATCCCAAGCTGTACCTCTGTGTGAAGTTCAGGAAAAGTGTCACTAAACTTTACAACTCAATTTATATTTACCTTTAAACCTTTCCCACTAAAAGCAATGAAATGTAGAATTTAGCTATGGTAGTTTCAATCTGGTTTAAACGAAGGACCCAAATTGGCCCCTCTGGAGGGAATGAAGGAGCAACAAGTCTACTGAATTCAGAATCAGTCCCAACTCAAATTCTACCTGCCCCATACATGTTTCTATTACTAGGAATAATACCAATAGAACAGTATCAGAGGAGTTTAAGCACATTCTAACTTCCATTTGCAAATATGATGATATGAAGATTGCACCGTTAATGGTAGGAACATATATTGGGCTGTAAGAGTAACCTTGAGGAAGAGTCGCAATGCAGACAGGTCAGACAAAAGAAATTTGAGTCTGAGGCAGAAATGTAATTTGAGAAAGCATCTCCAACTTGACCCTCCCTAGTTCTCTTGAAGATAAAGGGGAGGGGAGGTGCATTCAGACTTGCAAGATCCTGTTACTGTAACCTTATAATAATAGTAATTAGCATTCATAACTTTGGTTGCCTAGTCTGGTCTACCTCAAAGGGCTGACAAAACAACCAAACTATAGGCTTCCTAGTGTTTTAATAAATCGATAAGAAATTTGACACAGTAAATTCTGGGTTGTATCAGAACCAGAGTGTCTCTTGGGCTTGTCATGTCTTTCAATATAAGCCACCACAAAAATCACAAAATATATTAAAAAGGACTAAATTGCATGTTTGTCATCAGAAGCTTCTTGGAAGGCTGGGATATATAACTGGATATAAGCTACTTTTCATGATGCCTGCATTTTAAAAATATAGTCAAAGTCATCTGTGAAATCAGTGTTCCCAAAAGTGTGATACTTCATTGCAGCTGAGGACAAAATATAGTTCAGTGGTTTGATAGTATAATTTGTGATACAGTGATGAAAAAAACTAGGCTTATCTTTTTTTACCTCCTACCTTCCAGGCTGCAGCCATGCCAATAACATTACTGTATATAGGTACTGTAGTTCTTCAGGTTTGAAGAAGACATGCTGTTGTGCAGTTCATCTGTGGGCATGAAGGTGGCTCTGCAGTCCTAAACTGAGTCTTGCACAATAGGGGGACTGGAAGTCCATTGTTGTAATAACTGTGGGTGTTATTCTGTGATGCCGCTCATGGTTTTTTATAAGTTTTTGGCAGTGCCTGTCTTCAAAGCTGGTGAAGGCTTCATAGCACAGGGCTCACCAGCAAGTTCTGTCAGCAGCTGCAACTTCTAGTTCCCTTGGATGGAGGTCACAGTGGTGTAGGGTTTCTTCACAGTGCCTTTGTAGTGCTTGCATGGACAACCTCGAGGTCTCTTCCCAGTCTCCAGTACACCACAGAGCAACTGGTGAGGCATAGTGCTTGTCCATTCTGATGATGTGTCCCACCCACCACATCTGGGCTCTGATAATCAAGGTTTCAGTGCTGGTGGACTTTGTGTGTTCCAAGACCTCCAGGTTGGAGATACGGTCTTGTCAATGAATGCCAAGGATGGAGTGGAGAGTATGTATGTGAAATTTCTCCAATTGTTTGATGTGTTGTTGGTACAGAGTCCAGGACTCACATCCATATGGGAGAGAAGGGATAACCGCAGCTCTGTAGACTTTCAGCTTTGTGGAGATATGGGCATTGTGTTGATTGAGCACTCTAGTACATAGCCACCCCAGAGCCTGGCTGGCCTTGCTGATCCTGGAGTCAATTTCTTTGTCCAAAGACCCATTGCTTGAGATGATGCTTTCCAAGTATTTGAAGCTGTTCATATTTGTCAACAGTGATTTTTGGTTCTATGGGGTTGGTATTTGGCACAGCTAGTACATAGCCACCCCAGAGCCTGGCTGGCCTTGCTGATCCTGGAGTCAATTTCTTTGTCCAAAGACCCATTGCTTGAGATGATGCTTTCCAAGTATTTGAAGCTGTTCATATTTGTCAACAGTGATTTTTGGTTCTATGGGGTTGGTATTTGGCACAGGCTGGTAAAGTACTTTAGTCTTCAGGCTGATAGGCCAAAGAGCATAGCAGCATCTGAGATTTTGTTCAGTATCAATTGTAGATCACTGTCTTTGTGCACCAGGAGTGCACAGTTGTCAGCAACGAGGGTTTCTTGAATGATTGTATGGAGGCACTTCGTCCCAGTGTTCAAGCAGTGAAGGCCAAAGAGAGAGACATCCAATCAGTACCTGATGTACACTCCCCTTCTTCAGACCCTGGACAGAACGTGACAACACGCAAGTGAAGAACAGATTGAACCGGACTGGGGCTAGCACACAAACCTGCTTCACCCCACTGGAAATGGCAAAAGCAGCTGACATATCACCATTGTAAAGGACCTGTCCTGTCATTCCATCACGGAGAAGCTGAATCAACTTCACAAATTTCCTTGGGCATCCATAACTTCTCAGGATGGTCCAGAGAGCCTCCCTGTTTACAGTGTCAAATGACTTTGTCAGGTCAATCAAGACAGAGTAAAAAGGTTTGTTCTGCTCAATGCACTTTTCCTGGACTTCCCTGATGGCAAATATCATGTCTCGGT